CTTATGCTGCTCCTTGTTTTTACACTGGTAGCATCAGACCAATATGGAAGCCAGAAGCAGCCTAGAAAGGGAAAAAAAGTGCTTGTGCAAAGTAGAAGCAGTGTGGCCTCTGCTTCTGTCCTTGGCCCTTTACTCCCTGCAGGTGAAGAAGGGCTCGTCCTAAACCAGGACACTTATAATACTGAAATGTCCAATCCATGGCTATAATCTAGACATTTTCCCTTTGAGCTCCACAGTGCCCTATCAATCTGCTTCCTGAATACAGCCACACTAATATCTTCAAGTCATTCGGTTGAAGAGTCAGTTCATCATGTCTTCCATGACCTTATTTTGTTATGCCCTGAAATCCTGGCTTAATGAGTGTTACTCACCCATTTTGGGAAAGTCACTCTGTGACAGTGGCTCAACTTTGGCTGTACATTAGAATTACCTGGGGAGCCTTAAGAATCCCAGAGTCCGAGACCAGTTGAATCAGAATGTCAGAGAGGGGTGGGACTCAGGTGTCTGAACTTTTAATCATTTCCCCGGGCAATTCCAATGTGCAGTAAGGACGATGACCTCAGGTCTTCCTCCTCTTCCATTCTTATAAGTAGTTAGTCGTCTCCTGTAATTACTACCTTATTTTACCCTTTGTACACCCCTCCTGCCACTGCCATAGTTCAGATACTTCTCACAGTACTGCTTTCAGGACTGGTCTCCTAAGTCTAGTCTGTTCTGTTCCAGCTCCCACACAACTATTCTACTGGTTCTTCTAAACACAAATATGGCAGAATCACACTCATGCTTAAGTTTCATCCTCTTCAAAAGGTTCTCCCATAGCATTTAGGATATAGGACACATTCTGAGTTTTCACACTAGATCCTTTTCATTTTGTTATCTTCTCTAATCCTTCCCTTAGTATTTTCTTCTGAAGGCTAAACAGATCACCCAGGCTCTAGGAAAGAACAAGGATCTTTACCATCGCATCTGTGCTTAACACCATTTGTAATTCTATCAGTTTTTTATTTCTTTGGTGGGTTGTGGGGCTTGAACTCAGGGCCTGAAATCTTTTGCTCAAGGCTGGTGTTGTACTACTTTAAGCCAGAGTGCCACTTCTAGTTTTTGAGTGGTTAATTGGATATAAGAGTCTCATAGGGACTTTTTTGGCCAGGCTGGCTTTGGACCACAATCCTCAGCTCTCAACCTCCTGATGACAGGCTTGAGCCAACAGTGCCTGGCAATTATTTTAACTATACTGAGGACTGAACCCAGAGCCTTGCACTTACTAGGCAACCACTTCTGCTACATCCCCCAACCTCTCATTCATGATTTTAATTAGGCTTTACCCCAACAGATCAGAGAAGTTCCGTGTGGCCCTACTGAAGAACCTACTATAAACATTTTTTCAGTGAATGAGTCTAATCTGTTTTCAGCTCTGTTGCCCCAGACGGTGGCTTTGGCTGAATGGGTCCCTGTTTGATGAAGTCTTAGGAGAAATAGATGGCACATTTGAAAGAGGTCCTTCAACAGAGTAGAATGGAAAGACTGTTTTCAAAGGGCTGCACAAATCAAGGGCAAGAATAAGGAGTTGCCAAATATTTATCCAAAAGCTCATGGAGAAGAAATGCTTTGGGGCACCTGCAGAACGTTGGGACTGTAGGAAAGGACTGCTTAATTTGAGTTGTAGCTGCAGGTCAAAGAACTTAACCACTGTCAGGCCAGTGGCCAGCAGGAGAGTGCCTGAGGATTAAATACCCAGCTACCACTGTCCTTCTGCCCTTTCATCTTCTTCTTTGAGCCTTTCATCATGGCCTCCCATTGGTTGAAAGCAAAAGCAAATCAAAGGGCAAGAGAACCTGATTGATGCCCTCCATAGAGGTCTTGCCTCCTGGGGGCTTGCAGCAGAGTAGAGAACAGAGAATAGAAATGGAAGGGACAATTGGGAAATAGAGAGCATAGTTTCTTAGGTCAGAGAAGTCTGTTTTCTTTAAGATTCCCACAAGGTTGAAATAATTTCAAAAGCTGGAATTGGAGCTGTAGGAAAATTTACTAGGTCACCTTTCTTGACCTCATGTCATCTCATTCATTTTTTTTAAAACCCATTTTTATCAAATTTGCTCTCTTAGACTCTTAGGCATCCGTTAGATTGCTTATGAGCACACAGAGAGAAAACAAAGGCTCTTCCCTCATGTGAAGATGCCATATTTTTCCATGGTAGTTTATCTATGTATCTAAGAACATGAGCCATAGAGTCAGACTCTCTAGTTCCAGTCCCTACCACTGTGTTTCAAATGTGATACTGGGGACAGTAGCTCACGATGGGTTCTGGAGTCAGGATTTCAATTTAACTTTGTTAGGATGGCAGAACTCCAAGTGCTTTTCATGTCTGTAATTCACATCAAAACAGTAATAATAACATTGACAATAATGATGGTGATGACAATAAAGGAGGCTTGGGCATGTGGACCAGTAGTAAAGCACCAGCTTAGCATGTGTGATGACATGGGTTCAGTCCCCAGCAGCACCAAAAAGTAATAATAAAGTGAAATAGTTACTATAAATAAGCAATCACTGTGTATATGACATTATTATATAATTTACATGTGAAATGAAGATGTGTCACTTCTATTCATTCTAAATATCTTTCCCTAATAAGCAAGACTCAGAATCTGACTGAAATTGACAACAAAACAGTGTGATGCCCATGTCATTTCTTAATAATACTTTTGGTATTTATTTTCTAAAATGACACCAAGATTTGGGAACAAGTCTTCAAGCCTAAAAAAGAACTTAAAGATGTATTTTTAAGGATTGCCATCTGTCAAATTAAAAAAAAATTCTGAATAGTGATTTCTTATTTTACATTCTTCCCTCCCTTCCCCCTGACAAATCATTCTTAGTAGTTTTCTAACTGAACATTGGGGATATATTTTAGAGAAGAATTTCAAAAACCCTTAAAGCTGGAGCAGGAAGTTTTCTTTTGTCAGCACTGAGATTTGAACATGGGGCCTCAGCTTGCCAGGTGAGCACTCACCCACTTGAGCCATGCCCCCCTCCAGTCCTTGAGGATGTTAAACAGGTAAAATCATCTAAACTACCAACAAAACATATGTTGGAAATTAACTATACAATTTGGGGGGGATTAAGAGGAGAGAAAGTGGGAGAAAAATGGGGGAGGGGGGAACAAGTTGGACAAGAAATGTACTCACTACCTTTCATATGTAACTATAACCCCTCTCTACATCACCTTGACAATAAAATTAAAACAAAGACTAACATCTCACCACACTGGTGTTGCAAATCCTTAGCTGATTGATTTCTAATATTTACAAATGTTTATGTTGTGAGATTCATATCTTTGTATTGAAGGAAAAAATATTTAAGTGATAAACCACATTGACTTAGAGATTGCTGTCATTGGTTAACTGCAAAAGCCAGTACTTCCTCATCACAGAGCACTAAGCCTTATTTTTACTCTAGAGGAAGCTAGGGGCAGACCTAGAATCTACTTTTAGACCAAGGGACACTCTCACTCAAAATGAATCCTAGTGTGCCCCCCTCAGTCGGCAATAGCAGCTGCTTCCATAGCCCACTAGCTCAAGCAAAAGGACAGCACAAGACTCAAGACTCGATTCTCAGGTGAATGTCAGAAGTGCTGTACTTGTTAAAATAGCAACAGCAGTCATACTTATATACACCTATCTTTAGTGGTAACGTTTATATTTTTATCTGGTTTGTCAGAAGAACTGGTATCTCTTTTGCCTTAAAAACACTTTTCTTTTTGCTTCTTTGCTGGGCTGTAGTATACAATAAAAGGGGATTGATGTCTCCGGTACTTTCATCTAGGGGAAAAAATGTTGAGCAAAGAAAAAAAAAAGAAAAGAGTATTTAAAAAGTAAAAAGGGAATGCATTCAAACTGTAGACTGAAATGGAATGAATCAACCAGAAATGAGAATAAGAAGCCAATGGTGGAAAGGAGATAAAAAGAACAAAAACGGGCCAACAAAATAAATAGACAAAGAGAGACAATGGAAACACTAAGGGGAGTTTATTAGAAGATCCCCTTTGTTTTGTATTTTAAGATATTAAGGAGAGATTGTGGCAAATTCTTGTGCTAATGAAGGCTTTCTTCTTTGGGAATATTTCCAAGCTTGAAGTAATTGTGTGTAGTTAACCTGTGTCATCATATTACACCCTCTTAAAGTGAGACACATTGAACTAACCAGGCCCTGGTAACTTCAGGAATAAAATGTTCTATTGGGGAAAAAGTTCCTTTTTGATTCTCCAGTGAAAGAATATTGCAAGACCAAACCATGCAGCACTCTTGGTTGCTATGTCTTATATTACCAGTTTATACTGGTACTTCTCAAACTTTTCTCACCTACTCAAGAGTTTGAGATTCAGGAGGTGTGGACAGAGACCCTGGGGAATTTTCTCTCAGGTGATTCTGAAACTGTTAGTCCAGGGACTACATACTGAGAACCACTGCTGTATCCCAAACATGAATGCTTCTTAAGAATCCTGTTTAATCCAGGAAGAGCCTAAAGCAAATTTCCGGTTCTAACAGCCCTATCGCTTTAATCTTCAATTGAGGTGGAAGGGAACTGGAGTAGGAGGAACTAGATTATGCATGTTTTTTTTTTGTTTCATTTTCTAAAAAACAAAAAAAAAACTCCAAACCTACACACTAATTATCAGAGATGAGGTCATTTGCACCTAGGTCATTTATTTAAGCAACAAGTAGTCTTGTCTGAGGTTTTAAGGAGGTGCTAGCAAAATGGTGTGTGGCTTCCAAGTTCCTAGGTCTACCTTAAATTTCTGTCCTCCTGCTTTCTTTTTTCTTTTTTCATTTGGAAAGCTCTAACTGCCTGGTCCTAGGGAGTCCTGGTTCCCAAGTCCCAAGGTGGGGGCGGAGCCCAGCACGGCCCCGCCCCGTCTGCCCGCAGCCACCCCTCCCCGGGCCAGCCCGCCAGCCCGCCCCGCCAGCCAGCGCCGGCTCCTCCGCAGTGCTTTCAGTGCTTTGAGCTGGGAGCCTGGGCGGCGGCGGCGCTCGACTTTCGGGGAGCCCGGCGGCTCTGGAAAGCTCACTCCTCAGCTCTCACCCGCTCCCTGCCGCGGAACCCTTGCAGCCATGAGGGAACAGCTGAAAGGGTAAGTGGAGTGTGGCCCCGGTTCCCTTCGATCGCCGCAATCGGAGCACTTGTAGCACTAAGCCCAGGGACGAGCTAAGGAAGCCAAAACTTGGACTGGCTCTGTAGCTGGACCCTGGCGGCGGCGGCGGCGGCGGCGGCGTCGAGGAACCTCTCCCGCAGATCCTGGCGGCGCCGCTGCAGGTGCGCCCCCGGGGTTACCACCCTAGCGCTGGCTCTCGGGGCACCCTCTTCCCGGGTGTTGGGACAGACTCAGAAATAAAAGGTTGATGTTTTCGCCCCGGTGCCGGGGGTGGGGGGGGCACAGAGCGAGCGAGTGAGCGGTCCTCACCAGGAGTTAGGGGCCAAGAGAGCTTTTAGCTCCTTTCTGGGCTGCCCGTGTGGACGTGAGCCAGACCGGTTGTTCGGAAATCCGCGCTCGGCCTCGCAGGAGGAAGGGGCGCGAGCGGCATTCCCTTCCATTGCATGGCAAGTGCCAAAAGGTCAACTTTCTGCCTGATTTCTTCCGTGGATTCCAACTGACATTTCCCGTGCTGGGTTTTCTCCAGTGCTTAGTGCATCCCTCCAGACTTGGAGAAATCAGGAAAGAAAATCCAACTAAAGCTTAGAAGTCAAGGATTTGACCGAGAGAATATTCAATGTTTTTTTGTTGTTGTTTGTTTGTTTTTGTTTGTTTGTTGGGTTAGTTGATTACTTGGGCTTCTTTTGCTTTTGGGGTTTCAGAGTGCAGTCATTTGTGTGTGTGTGGGGGTGTCCTCTTGTTTCTCCTGGTGTCTCTCGTCTTCAAGCAAAGTTTGCCATTCGCAATCTTTTAGGGCAATGAAAAGGGCAGGACACTTTGCTTATCTCAGTTAAATTGGAAGTTAAGTGTGCAGCTGAAATTGAAGGGGTTTCATTGCCTGAGGGAAGCCTAGTATTAATTATAACACCATGAAAAAAAAATCCACCCATCCGATGGAAAAATAAAACACCAGAGTTTGAAGTGAAATCTACATTCTTATTCCACCAATAAACTCTTCCTCTTCCTGGTCCCCATGGTACTTCATCCCTGCCAGCCTCTCCTTGTCACTCTCATCATCCTTTCTTTTTCTGCTAGACTTTTTTTATTTCCTGTTTCTACCCTTTTCCGGAGGAGACAGTTGCTCTCAGAGAAGAGAGAGGAGCAAATGCAACAACATGGTTAGAGGAAAGGTCCCTGACCCCTCATCACCATGGAATTGGTTTTAGTCATCATTGTTTGATCTTGGATTGGACACGACCCTGAAGTGAAATTGCTTTGGCCAAAGTTGAGGGTGGCTGGGAAGTAAGGCTTGAAAAGCAAATAGAGCAGAGGACTAGCAACAGCTGCAACAGCCGCAGAGACAGTCATCTTTGCCCTGGCTTGAGTCAAACAGAATAAAATGCTAAATATCTTAGGGAACAAGAAACGAGGAAACTAGAAATAGGATTTCTGATGCCTCATTTAACACTCAGCTCAGCTTCATGCCCTCCCCACAGTAGCAGAAACTTAGAAATATATTTTCCCATCCCACCCTGCTACTATTCCAGCAATGCCAGCCAAGTTCAACAATTGAGTATGCAAAATGCCAAGGTTCCTCTAGAAAAAGTGCCATCCCCACATTAAAGAAAAATCATTTGTGGGGGGAAGGGAGAATCAGGGGGCTCCAGATTATATTGGAAGCCAAAGTAATCCTCTGCAAATCACAAGAGAATGCTACCTTTTTATATCAATACATTGTGATTCGTTTCCTCCATGGAAAGTAGTGAAAAGAATATGCACAGATACTATATATTTATACATATATATTATGTGATATATATATATGTATTGAAAGGCAACTCTTTCGAATATTTCAACACCAAACAACAGAGGTGGCAGAAGAAATTTTATTTAAATTAGGCAAATGCCATTTTCTCAGGGAAAGCAGAGATACTTGTTACTTTTCACAAGTGGTTAATGTTTGTTTTTAACAACTAAAAAACCAGTTCCAATAAGTCTGATTATTCCAACACTGACAGCAAGAAATGCTCTAGGGTAGTTAAAATAACCTTGCACACTACTTGAAACTAAAGAAGGTGAGAGAAAATTTAAATTGTATGGTAGGAAATTAGGTCAGCCCTATGCTCTGTAGAGTAATGCTTTAATTTCTTGTTATTGACAAGTAGGTGTTGCTGAGGTCTTTTGTCATAGTCAGTGATTTTATATTTTAATTTGCATCATGGTCCCAGAAGAAAAAAAAAGAAATTATTGTGGTTTGTACAAATACAAAAAGGGGGGGTGGGTGGGAATCAGCTTGAAAGACTGCTCAAAGAAGCATATTTGATGCCAGGCTTTGGAATCACAAGGGCCAAAATCAATAACATTTTTTTCAAGATTTGAAGAGCCTTTTAAGGATTATTTATGAAGCCAATGTCTGTGTTAATGTACATACGGAATTGTGATCTGTGTTGGATATCATTGTTTTGGAGAATTCTGAACAAAGATGTACCCTCTACCGGGTGAACAGGTTTCAGAATTTGCCTTCTGGTTGCAAATGGTATAGGAAGAGTGTATTTCCAACGTGAAAGTAAAATGCACAGCATATTTTTCCATATTGTCTGCATATTCCAGGTTAATGTGAGCTGTCTGTCACGGAGTTATGGAGTTACTGAGAATTTTCTACAGTTTTGGAAAACAGGCACAGAATAAGAAGTACAGCTATAATACCAGAATTGATCCTACCATCCACCAATCAGTTTGTCTTGAAAGTTAGAATATAGATATGATTTGTTCAGATTTTTGCTTATCAGCCAGCTAGATTCATCTTTCCTGTATATTTGGGGGGTTCAGTATGTCCCAGTAGGGCTTCAGATTCACCACAGGTGAAATTTCCCACATCCAGTGAAATGAATATTTGCCTCGTCCAACAATTTGAACTCCTTTAAGCTATGCTGCCAAACATTTTTAGTACTAAATGGCTAAACATCTATTTTTTTTTCTAGTTTTTGGATTAGTCACACCCTTTTCTGATTTCCACTATGTCACTTCTGTCCTTTAGTGGAGGTTTGCAGTTGAAGTGAAGCTACTTGTTTTGCATTGCTTAAAAAGAAAAGGATTGTGTATTGGAGGGTACAAACATAGGGTGTGGGTAGGCTTTTGGAAGTAATTGACTAGTTCATGTACCTGAATTATTTAAATTCTTCAGAATCCAGGTATTGGGAAAATAGTACCTAATCTTAGCCCTTAAGTAAGGGATAGGATTGGGGCTGATGATTTCATCTTCTAGTAAAGAAAATTAAGGCATTATTGAAGACTGATGTATTAAAGAATAATTTCTAAGCTGGGCATCCTTGGCTCAGGCCTGGAGTCCTAGCTACTCAGGAAGCTGAGATCTGAGGATTGAGGTTGGAAGCCAAGCCCAGGCATAAAAGTCTGTGAGCATTTCATCTCCACTGAAAAACTGGAAGTGGGGTTGTTGCTTAAGTGGTAGGACACTAGCATTGAGTGAAAAACCTGAGGGAAAGAGCCCAGGCCCCGAGTTCAAGTCTCAGTGCTAATGCACACATACAAAAAATAATTTCTAAAATGTTATAAAGGTGGAAATGTAGACGTGTTGGCAGACATGAGATGTTTTTTCAGACAAGGGGAATCTCAAACAATCATTGTGTGAGATTCTCCTGTCCATTGTGTACATTACTGCTCAGTCCTTTTAGAATTACATTTGGTACAAGTTTGTTTCATTCCCAAGTTCCTCTGATTTGAAGTCCATTTCACATGGTATCTTTTCTGGGTGGTTTTCTGTCCCTGTAGAGTCAGGTTTATTAGCTCATCCAGTTCTCTGCAGAGCTGTTGTAGACTCTATAGTCCTACAAATGTCCTAGAGAGAGGGCATTGTTAGTACACACCATGTCTGCTAAGGGCCTATCTATAGGGGGGCAGGTGCCCTTTTCTTTCTTTTCTTCCTGATGTTCACATCTGCCTGGAATGACAGGAGGCCTGAATTTAGGGTGGCCTCACTCGTGTATGGAATTAGTGCATACAGTCAATTTTCCAAGCTCAAAAACATCCGAGAACCAGCAACACTTCTTCCATAAAGCTGCAACTGCAGCCTTCTTGTGCTGTGCATATAAAGTACCAGTCCTGCCCCCCCCCTTCTCCAGATCCTAAACCGGTTTGGTCATGGGGTTTTGTAAACCCCCTAAAGCATGGAGCACATCTCTTGCTCTTTTTACCTGTGAAGACTTCCATGTCACTTGGTTACATAAGCTCAACTGATAACCCCTGTTGGCATTCCTCAAATTCAGATTTTCTCTTTGGAGAAGTAAAACAGAAATGAATATATTTGGAAGAGAGGGAGACAGCCTTTCCCAAGTGAATATTTTCTTGCAAATTGATTTCAGTAGCCTTGACCATTCAATCACTGAAGGGTAAATATCACAGGGATGGTCTTTGAAGTGGTATGGTCTGGGTAATTTCCATATGTCCTTATGAGATTTACGATTATATTTATGAAACTAACTTTAAGTGTCTCTTTGCTTTTTACGTATTTTTCTAAGGCAAGGATAATACACAGGGAGTGTAGCTTTTATTCTCTAGGAAGGTTTTTCTTTTTCTTTTTAAGGTTTGACTAACTGCAGTTAGGTCCACATCAATACTGTAATCAACTCATAAAAGGTTTGCTTTTAATGGCTGGTAATTTGGGAACCACATGATAATAAAAATGAGCCCATATTGAGTATCAAAAGGTGCCCAGTCAATTAATCCTTTATCTAAATTAATCCTTTACCTTTTGCTCAAGTGAGGCGGCCTCTCCCAAATTTCATAGCCAGAGCCCTAACATTTTTTAAATGGACAGATCTAATGTTGTTTTTTTTCAAACTCCTTTTTTGTGTGTAATACCTCCCTTTGTGCTTTCTAATTCCCTGGAAATATCCAAATTTAAGCTATTTCTCCTCTCTCCATTTCCACTCCCCCCAAGATATTATGAATAGGCTCAGCACATGACTACTGAAATATTGTTCCAAGCTGCATTTTACTTATCAAAGCCCGTCATGTAATCCCTGAAAACTGGAAATATGATGCTATGGTGGTTTATGTAAAGGGCCAAAGTAAGGAAAAGTATATGTAGTTATCTTTCCTGGATTAATTCTTGTAATTGAATGAGGAACAAAGGTGTTTTGTTCCTTTCCCTTTTGTGATAGGAGCTGATAGCTGGCAAACATACTTCAAGAAATGGAGGAGAACTGTGAATGATTCATTCAGGTCCAAGTAAATATAGGGAGAAGTGGAGTGTTGTATAGAGTACTGAGTCAAAAAGACATTCTAAAAATAATGGAGAGAGGGAAGATATGATATATTAGTTGAGGGCAGTAGATACTTTAAGTTGAAATGAAATACAGGTGTCACAGATAGGCAATCTGGATATAGAGAAGAAAGAACAATGGAAAAAATAGACTGGGAAGGCAAATGAGAAGCTAGATAATTTATAGTTATGGAACTGTTGTCTGAAATCTCTTTTTGACAGATTGAATAACAATCAGTTGTCAATGTCCTTTCTGTATGTTCCATAATTGGACAGATGAGGGAATCTTGATCTTCAGTTATTGATCTTATAATGAGATCAATTTATTATAACTGAAGTGCAATCAATTTATGGGTGCAGAAAACAAATATTCTAGAACAAAATGATGCTCATATTGCTTTTCCCTTTGAAAATGAAAGCAGGGGCCTCTCTGCTTGCAAGATAAATAGTCTTCACTATTCTATGGAAGTCCTTGGAAGTAAAGATGCCGAATGATTCAAAAGTAAACCATTTTTCTTCCTTCCCCCCCCCCACTGCCCATTGTAAATTCTAAAATGCCTCTTTATGTTTTGTGTTTTAGCCATGAGACGCAAACAACTTGCTGGGACCATCCCAAAATGACAGAGCTCTACCAGTCTTTAGGTAAGGACATGACCATGTTTCCATGCAATTAAGTGACAGATGACATTCAATATAGTTTGTAGTGTACAAATCATTTGTTGTATAAATACATCACTAGGTTGTTTCAAGGCTGAAATCAATGGCACTATCTGGTAAAAATTGACAATCAGCTTGCTTTTTCTTTAGTGATTTCTTAAAAATAACTTTAAGAATTTGACTGATTGCTAAAAATTCAACATATCTAAAGGTCCTTGTTGTACTAGCGGCTGCCTGAAAGGTTAGAAAAACATTTGCAATTTATAGCAGGCCTTTTTTTTCTTACAAAGAAAGAAAACTGTTTCAAGTTATTCTTATTGATTTCTTCTGTGTGAAACCAAGATGACAGTTCTGCCGGACCACAAATGTTGTGTAAAGGTATTTTCTGCCATTTTTCTGGTGTTCACAATTCCCAAGGCCTGTCACATTGTGATCATTTAAATGATAGCTCCACCATGGCTTGCTTGGTGTTTGTGTGAGAATCTGCTACGGTTTTCTCCTCATAACTTGGAATTTTTTGGACAGGCACATAGCATACAAATAAGAGGAAGACACCAATCTCTTTAACACTCGATAGCTCATTCTGCCATTTAGCTTTGTAGGGATTAATCTGCAATGAATTCTCTGCAGTTTTTATATTGCTATTTTGTTTGTTTTTTTTTTTTTTGGTCCAGTCGTGGGCCTGAACTCTGGGCCTGGGAACTGTCCCTCAGCTCTTCAGCTCAAAGCTAGCGCTCTACCACTTGAGCCACAGTGCCACTTCCGCTTTTTTCTTTTTGCTTATGTGGTGCTGAGGAATCGAACCCAGGGCCTCGAGCATGCAAGGCAAGCGCTCTACCACTGAGCCACCTTCCCATCCCCTGCTATTTTGTTTTAATTAAAAAATGGCACTACTTCACTACTTTAAAGTATGCATTTTTGTGGGTGGATATATGTTTATATACTAATGCCCACAACATGATCTCTCGGTTTAAAGCTAATGTGATAAAGGCCAAGGGAATTGAAATGCTTAACCATAAATTTCATGTGTGTGTGTGTGTGTGTGTGTGTGTGTGTGTGTGTCTATTACCTCTTTTCTATTAGTAGGTGCTCATTGATTAAGGAATTGCAGCCATGGGACACTAAGGAAACTGTTAGTAAAAACAAAAAATCATTTTGTTAAACATTTTTCCTAATTATAAATTATATAAATTTCTTTTAGAAACCCTGGAAAATGCAAATATAAATTATGAAAAAGAGAAAAGAGTCAGTTATAATTCTAGTAGCCAGTATAACCAATACATTTCCAGTAATATGTCATTTCAGTTTAGCAGTGTGACAACTTTTAAAACTTTAGATCAGATAATCTCCAAGTACTATATTTTCAGCCCCTGCAGAATTTTTACTTTATATTACTGGACTGTTGATTCTCCAGTTGGCAAATTTGAATGCTTATATTTTGACAAATGAGAGAATGAAGTCTTAGGAAATACATAGCAGCTGTGCGGGGCCAGCTGATGTTTCTAACCCAGCATTCTCAGAACATCTGATTTTTCAAGAAGGAACTAGAAATCTGTCATCAAAGAACTGATTTAAACACTGTGCTTCCTGACTGTAACCTGAGGTTTACACAGGTTACCCATAACTTTTTCTCCACTTCTAGTTGGTATGATGTCAAGTTATGATATTGTAATTATCTTTTCAAGACAAGATCTTGCTATGTAGCCCAGGCTAATTTTAACTTCGTAATCGTTTTGTCCATGCTGTCTTTACAGTGGTCACCATACCTGGCTTATAATTTACCTTTAAAGTCATTATTATAGAATTAACATTTGTTAATTCTTAAGCTTAAAAATATAAATAAGCTAACAAAATAGAAGTAAAGGAAAGCCATCTAGTCAGTGTCTTTAAAAATTTCCTTAAAGAAATTCTTGGATTAGGGATGTAATTTAGTGGTAGAACATTTGTCTGACATTTTCAAGGCCCTGGGTTCCATTGTTAGCACCCCCCCACACACACATAATTTCTTTCTCTATGTACATTTAAATTTTAAGCATTATAATAACATATTTTTCCACTTAAAAGCAATGTACTATGGCCATATTTCCATTCGATTGCATATTGTTTCCTGCCACTTACTTTTAATTAGCCTATAACGAGAAATTATAAACATGGTTAAAGAACAAATTACATATTATCATATAGATGTCTATATCTGCAGCAAGAATTAAATACACATGTAATTATCAAATTTGTAAACTTCTCAGTAGTTTGAGTAGAGTGGTAAACTCAAAGCTAGGAATCTGCCATAGCTTTTGATTTTGGGCAAACGCCATTTTGGAATGTAATGGACTTTTATAGTTACAGGGGATTATACAGCTCCTATTGCAAACTCTCTTTATTAAATCAACTTTATTGATGTATAATTTGCATATAATAAACAGAGGCATGTAAATAAATGTATGATCAATTTCAAACTCCTTTGAAATTCTGTTTCTTTTTAGCCTAATAGCAAATATCTTGGCAAATGAACTAAATATTAAAATTGGCTTTTTAGCTTTTAGAACTGAAATTCCCAGTATGTTTCTTCCAATTAAATATTGATTGGACTAATTTTAATCCAAAATTTTAGTTATGGACTAATATTTTTCCTCCCTCCTTTCCTTTCCTTCCTTCCTTCCTTCCTTCCTTCCTTCCTCCCTCCCTCCCTCCCTCCCTCCCTCTCTCTCTCTCTCTCTCTCTCTCTCTCTCTCTCTCCTTTTTGTGTGTCAATCCTGGGGGCTTGAACTCTGGCCCTGGGCTCTATCTCTGAGTGTTTGTTTTTTTGTTTTACTCAAGGTTAGCACTCTACCATTTAACCCACAGCTCCACTTCTGGTTTGTTTTTTTGCTTTTTGTTTTTTTCTGTAGTTAGTTAGAAATGAGAATATCATGGACTTGCTTCAAACAGAGATTCTCAGATCTCAACCCCTTGAGTAGCTAGGATTACAGGAGTGAACCATTGGTGCCCAGCAGGCTTATCTTTTCTTCTTTGAATGGTGTCCCTTTAGGTCCAAGTTGCTGTTTTGAGCTTGCTGAAGTGGTTAGAAGTCTTCAGAAGCAGTCAGTTCATAAAGCTGTATTAGGCACTGGTATGTCAAGTATTTTAGCTCACATCTAGCTTGCTTTTTTTTGCAATAAAAGTAATAGAGTTGTTGAATGCTTGTAATCCTAGCTAATCCATAGGTTGAGATCTGTGGATCATAGTTTGAAGCTAGCAGGAACAGGAAATCTCTTAAGACTTTTATCTCCTATTAACCAGCAAAATGCTGGAGGTGGAGATGTGGCTCAAGTGGTAGAGCGATCTCCTTGATTGAAAAAGTCAAGTGGGAGCACAAAGGCCTTGAGTTCAAGTGGCCATGAGTTCAAGGCCCAATACCAGCACCAAAAAGTATAAAGATTCATTTGAGGTTATTCCCAATGGCATAATATGGCTTTTTAGAGTAGATTCTTTTAAACCAAATGTTAGTAATATTGATGTTTTCTCCTAAGTTTTAGGATATGTATGTGTATAAAAATTTCCAACTTATAAAATATTGTTAGGCTCCCACACAGTGCAATTACAATAAAGAAATAATTTAAATGCCTCCAATAGCAATCTGGCAGTCATTGGGAATTTGAGACTAGTAACTTTATATAACGTTAACAATGTTGCAAAAAAATGTCTTGGATTTTTACTGGGAAATTATGAGCTCATTTGAATGCATTTTTTGAGCATTTTTCTGTGATTACACATATTAGTTATAGAATAGTGATGGAGGGATGGACAATAGTAGAGTAAATGAGATGAGATATAAAACACAAAGGATCCCATATCTCTTTTTGATTGGCCTTGGTATCTAGTATCTTTATCTTTTTTTGTTTTTGTCTTAGGGCTGGAACTCAGGGCCTGAATGCTATTCCTGAAATTGTTTGCCTAAGGCTAGCAATCTACCACTTTGAGCCAAAGCACCACTTCCAGTTTCTTTCTCTTTAAAAAGAAGAAACTGCATAAAAATATTTGAGAAATTTTGTTTTTCTCTTACTTTGGCCTGAAGGAAGACAGACTATTTCCCTGAACTTGGTGGGATCATATCTTTCCAAGAGAGACATTTTGGCCTGATTTTTCAGATAAGTGGATTTCTAAAAGTTTAATCATTCCTGTTTTTTTTTTAAATGCATGTTCCAGGAAAACAAAAGTCAGGGAAAGATCATGCCATTCATTTTCTACAAGCTGTTATCCCTTTGGGAAGCTTTTGAGATATTTTCTTGTGGAAAATATCCCATTCAGTTGTTGAGAGGGTGTGTTCTTCCTGGTTTTGGAAAAGTAATTATATATTGCATTTGTATAGTGAATTTCAGGTTGCTATTAGCATTTTTTCCAAATGTAAAAGCCTGTTATTCTAATAGATTATCTTGGCAATTTAAAACCTAAAGCTCTGAGGAAACATAAAGGAGAATGATGGGAGGTAGTGAGTCAATGAAGGTACATTGCATGCATGTATGAAAATGTCACAACACGGCTGGATGTAGCTTAGTGGTGGAGTGCTTGCCTAGCATGAATGAAACCTTGGGTTTGATTCCTCAGTATCATGTAAACCAAAAAAAAAAAAAAAACAGAAGTGGAACTGTGCCTCAAGTGGTAGAGTAGTAACCTTGAGCAAGAGAAGCTCAGGGACAGTGCCCAGGCCCTGAGTTCGAGCCCCAGGACTGGCAAAGAAAAAAGAAAGAAAAGAAAATGTCACAACAAACACCCTCCTCCTTGTAAAACTAATGTATGCTAATACAAAAATGCTGGCACACACCCCACCCTTAAAGCTCCCTATGGCCAAAAAATACATATACAAATGCACTAGGTATTAGATGGTAGTGTACTCGAAATTTAAAATGCAAGGTTGTTGAAAGCCTGTCCTTTTCTCACAATTGACATTTAATTTCATTGCTGAAATTGTAAGAAAATATTTTCAAACATTTCCCCTCTCATGTAAT